AATTTTTCATGTATTTTAATGATAACTGCAATTTATGATCACGGACACACACACAAAATATCTTTCACATGGTAAAATAGAAATCACAAGTATGTGATAGTTTACGTAATAGCCGTTGTTTGGTCTTGGCGGCGCTGCAGATGTTGACAGACGTTTTGCTGCAGCATAAGATAGCGGCTAGCGGTCCATGGTTATATAGTCAAAGCTGTAGCCTGGCATTGTGCAAAGGCCTTTACGTTTTACGTGTTTATATTTTCCACGATGTAATCTCAATACTTTGTTTATCAACATCAATTGATAGTTAAACAAATAATTGTGTGAAATTCGAATTTTTAAAATATTGTTGAAGTAGAGAATGGGGAGTAGAGACGATTATCCGCTTATAAACGTTCGATTGGCGATAAATAGAGTAGATTTTAATTTGACAACTAACGGGGGCATTCAGACGAGACTCTACACGCCTGGCGAAGAGATATCCAACCAGCCGGATTTCCTGAGGTAAATATATCTTGTATTGCATGCAGTACAATTATAATAATTAAATGTATATTTTGTTAGAGGCCATGGTACCTATGTAGATGAAGACAACACATTGCGTGCCGCAGTCAGTGGAGTATTAGAGAAAGTAAACAAACTTATATCAATCAGACCTCTGAAGGCGCGTTATCAAGGCGAAATCGGTGATGTAATAGTAGGACGAGTAACGGAAGTACAACAAAAACGTTGGAAGGTTGATACAAATTCCAAGCTTGACTCTGTATTACTATTGTCTAGTGTTAATCTTCCAGGTGGTGAATTGGTAAGAAATATACATATAAACATAATTTTTGTTTCTTTGTATATATAAAGAATATAATAATTGTTAGTAAGACACAGTATTGCTTTCATTATAAATTTCTTGTAAATATAAAAGTTAAAGTGATAGATTTCATATGTTGTTACTATTTTTTAAAATAATTTGTAAATATTGGATCAGTAAAGTGTATAATTAAAAATCTTAATAACCTAAAGCTTGTTTCAAGTAAGTTAGTGCTACATTGAAATTTTGTATCCTTTTTTTCTATTCTAAAAATTATATATTTATATATCTAGATTATATATTTATTTCATTCTAAAGATAAAAAGTACAACCTAATTTACCTAAAAAGAACAGATTTATAAATACATTGTATGTATGTTATAACTATTATGTTAATTAGTGTATCCAAAACTTAATTTCTTCAATTGGTTAGATAATTTATTAAGAGCTGGTAGGAAAGATGACTATGGAGACCTCGTGTTAAAATCCACAAAACAGATATTTTATTTCCTGACTAAAATCTGAGAAGGATCAGTTTGTAATTGTTATTATTGTAATAAAAAAAGAAAATTGTACATATGTATAGAGCACTTTTTTTTTTTTAGAAAAAGGATCGAAATAAAAATCAGTAATATAATTGAATGAGCATTGCATGGAAAATGTATGAGTCCATATTTTAATTCACTGTAAATTTTTAAGGGCCTGATTGCAAAAATCGACTCTGTCTCTTCATAGTTATCTATAAAGACATCTTTGAAAAACATTTGTGAAGGAAATGTAACATTTGCAAGGCAGTATATGAAAAATTGGAGATACTATGAAAAGTATAGCCAAAGTACGCTAACTTGCAGTCTGTGCGAATGATGCATTAGTATTTATATATATATAAACACAACTATATACACAGAACAGTATTTCGCGCTCTTGTCACATGAAGTTTCCAAAGGCAAAGTACAATTACTCTTAGCTCCTGCCAGGTTTTAAATATTTCTTTTATTCTCCTTTTTTTTGTTTTTGTTCATTTAATCACTTATTTAAGGTAAAATCAAATAAAATATTTCGATATTATATAGAGAAGAAGATCAGCCGAAGATGAGCAGACAATGCGTAGATATTTGCAGGAAGGCGACTTGATTTGTGCTGAAGTACAATCGATCTTCGCTGATAGCTCACTCTCGTTGCATACTCGTGTACTGAAGTATGGTAAACTGTCTCAAGGTATGATGTTGAAGGTACCACCAATGCTGATACAGCGCAAAAAAACACACTTTCACAATTTGGAAAACGGTGCCAGTCTAATACTTGGCAACAACGGCTATGTATGGATTGGCGCAAATGCTCAGAATGCTGACAGATCGGAGGGTGGTTTCACAGAAGACCTTTCGCGTATTCCGCAGGAGAACCGTGAGGTATGCGCACGATTACGCAATTGTGTGTTGATTCTAGCCCAGTGCAACATGTTGTTGTCCGATACGTCGGTGACGTACGCTTATGAAGAATCGATGAAGTATACGGTGAGCGAACTGTTGGAACCTGAAGCGATGATCGATGTATCGTTGTTGACGCATCAGAGACTTGAACAGTAATGATTTAACCCGGCTGATTATGGTTGAACTAGAAAATTAAATAATAATATGCTGTAATTTATGTGCCATCGCAAATAAAAATCCATAGATCAAACAAGAATAGGTATTAGAATAGGCTTTATAAAATTTATATAATTCGATTTTTATTAAGTGAATTTATTCAATTAATTGAAATTCATCGATGTTCCTTTCATTTATTATTACTAATTTTGTGATTATGGCAAATAAAGGGTAAAATTTGTGAGAAAGTTTATACTTTTTTCATAAACCAATATAAGTTAGAAGAATGATACAAATAAAATACACCTTCGCGCTTTTTTGAGAGAATTGTAAAATGATGCAGTAACGACAAAAAGAACAATGTGTATAAAATACTGCAACATTTTATATATATATATATATATATATATATATATATATATATATATATATATATATATATATTATATAAAGCACACACACTTGGCAAGACGGTCCAGCTATAAGCGATGTCATCGCACACGCCATTAATATGAGTATTGATTAAACAAATAGTCTTAGAAACGCGTCATAGTCGACAGAGCAACGGAGACATGGACGCATGTTTTAATGCCTTTGATAAGGACGGCGACGGTTTTCTGTCGATATCTGAATTCGAACTTATTTGTCGCGCGTTATTTCGTAACGATCGGGGCAAAATTTATGGTTTCGAGGAAAAGCAATTGCGGGAAGTGTATTCGATTTTCGATCTCAAGGGCGATGGTATGATTGATAGAGAAGAATTTGAGGTACGTTCAAAGGATGCTTAAAATATTAACAGTCGTATTAGTCGTTTATCTTAAAGATTGTTTTAAAACGACGAGAAATCTTTTACCCCCCATCTACATTAGTAGATTTAAGTCTTAAGCTTCAAAAACTAACCGATCACAGTCAATTATTCTCCTCAAATTTGACTGTGATTGGTTAGTTTTTAAAGCTTAAATCACCTAGGTTGCATTCCTTTTGGGTGCTCACGTGCTTTAAGCGCTTATAAACGTCATTCTATCTTTCTTCCGCATCTAATGAGTGATAAAGATAGAATAACGCTTACAGCGCGTGAGCACCCAAAAGGAACACATATAGAAACCCTAATATAGATGGGAGGTTAAGAATACGTTGAGGATATGTTATGTTTTTTTTCTTATATTTTTTTTGGAAAAATATTAAAAAAAATAACGTTTTCTTTGTGCCTTCTTTCAACGTTTTACTTCTACAGTTATTAATTTAGATTTACTAATCTCTATATTGATTGATACAAATAAACATACATTAATCAATTAACAATGGCTGCGTTCAGCAGAGAAAGCTGCTTTGCAATTGTTGTAAAATTCGTGAGTCTGATTGGTACATGCTTTTGGATTCAACCAAAATTAAGAGCATACTCCAATTAGATTCACGAATTTTACACAGTTACAAAGCAGCTTTCTCTGATGAACGCAGCCAATCATAACGTCCATTTTTGTAGTAAAATTTTTTACTGTTTTATGAAATTATTTTATAAATTTGGCACTTGCTCCTATTTGTATATGCTATCGTAGATTTGTTGGAATCGATGGATTAAAACATGCACTCGACCCAAAAGTGCTTTCTTAATCGTGGACGTGCAGAACGATTTCATAACAGGTTCACTGAATATAAAGCAATGCGCTGCGCAACATGATGGTTCGGAAGTGATCGAACCAATTAATCGAATACTAGAAACCGTGCCGTTCGACGTTGTATTTTATTCTTTGGATTGGCATCCTGTGGATCACGTGTCCTTCATCGACAATTTACATCTCAGGTAATTAACATATTATAAATCCTATAAATTTTATACTATAGAGAAGAAGGAGAGGATCATGGGCTGTTTTTAGCTGAGCGATATTCCTTCCTTCCTTCAATATATGGCTCCAGGCAGGATTGGGACATTTGATAAATTCTACGGTGTTTTACTTTATATGTAATATACATGTATATTACGTAAAATATGTAAAAAACGTAATATACATGTATAAAATATCTAATGTCCAATTTTACTAACGCAAGGTAATCAAATCGGTTAATTGAATCAACGGAATTGTCTAATTGCATTGTCCAATTGCTAAATTGATCCATGCGATTGGAAAATTTAATTTGATAAACTCGCGTTGAAATCGAATCTAAGCTTAAAACTATCTAACTTTACTTAAAATCATGAAGTAAGAGAGAAGGAGATCGAATTTCGTTTTTTATTTATTTTATTGATTGATTTATTAATATTGCAAAGCACTGAGGCCGGAATCCCATTAGGCGGAAATTTTTAGCGGAACGGAACGCGCGCATCAATCACAGGGTGCTTTCCAGTTACAATATCCCTAGACACTTTCATGCACACGGCGATACAAGTTGCATTTCAATTGTCGTAATCGTCGACACAACACTACACATCCGTACTCAGTTCGAGGGTTACTAGTTGACTGTGTAACTAGTGTTTTCTAATGACAATTAAAATTAATAAGCATTGCGGCTTGAGAAGAGATTGGCATTTGCGACGTGAAATGGATAGTACCTCTTTTATTATTTAGATCTTATTATTTATTATTAAAAAATACCAAGGTATGGACATGTTGAAAAATAATCCTAACTCTATCCGACATACATACACATTAGTACACATTAGTACACATTTTGTTCCAATTGAGTTGTGCACAACGTTAAGGCTCGTCTACAATTTCTGTAAGAATATGGCTGTAAGGCTGTAAGACGCGAAATGAATTTCATTCGTTGACAGCTCACGTTACAGCCTTACAGACATATTTTTACAGCTATTGTAGATGAGCCTTTACATTTTGTGCATTTCTGTGTATGTGTGTGTCAAGATGTGTTAAGCAATTAGAAACTAGAGATGCCCGATTCTGAATCGATTCGATTCTTTCCCCAAAAACAGGCTTAACAATGTTGTTTGCACTCTTCGCACTTTTCGCATTTAAAACCAGACAATAGTATATTGGAATGTTTGGAAGAAGCAAAAGCGAGACAACCAACTCGATTGTTTCTTCCAAGCGTCTGATTAGGCGTCCATTTCTTTTTAAAAGCGAAAGTATGAAACATGCAAACAGCACGAACAACCCTTTTTTCCTAAATTTTGGAAAGAATCAAATTGATTAAGAATCGGGCATCTCTATTGGAAACCCACAGTTAAGTGGGAAATACACACTCTTGCATAAAAGCATAATGCACAACGCATAAGATAATTAACCATTCAGAATCCTCATTTCTATTGCCACGATGAAAATGAAGGACTCTAATTGGTAAATTTTCTTATGCGTTATGCATTATGCCTTTATGTAAGGGCTATCGCACCAAATTGATATAACTGCATATGCATAGCATAAGATCGTATGGACCAATGAGCATCGAATATTAAGCATCGAACACCAATATGACGACTTAATACTCGATGCTCATTGGTACATACGGTCTTATGCTATGTATATGCAGTTATGTCAATTTGTGTGCGATAGCCCTAAGAGTCTGTGCTCCTCGCTTTAGGGCCAGCGCACGAACATTGCTGTAGTTCCATATGTCATCTTACGTGACAACCTTACGTTACGTCAGACGTAAGCTGAACGTACGGCAACGCACAAAAATTTTACGTTACGTTACAGAAACATAGAGTTACTACGTAGAGTTACTACATAGAAACATACGTAATAAGTAAAGAAACAATAATAATTTATCTTTCATAATTAGAAATACAGTCATAATTAGAAATGTCTATATTGTGCACATATTAATTTTATTAAACTGTTAAATATATCTGTACAAAATTATAAACATTGCGTTATAACCTCTTCCCAACACTATGTATAGAATACGTTTGACATATAAATATTAAAATAAAATTTTAGGTTTTCAAGTCAACAAATATGAAAACATCAAAGTCTATGATGTTAAAATGTTTATTGTTGTCATTACTCTTCATTTATTATATGAGACTAAAACGGAGAAAAATACACAAAAGATAGCAAAATAGATGATGGCTCGTAAGACCAATTAATCAACAGAGAAAACAGCAAGGAGAATATAAAAATCTGTTTCAATAATTAAAAACTGATGAAGACATGTTTGTTAAATATGTCAGGAGAAATGTTCAATATTTTAACAAGTTATCAACCATGCTAAGACCTTAATTGGTAAAAGAAAACTAAGAAAGTTCTGTTTCCGGAACACAGGTTAATAATAATATTAAGATAAATATAGTTTATTAGTAAAAAATTGTTTGATGTAAGTACTTCTTAAATTTTTAGTTATGTTTAGAAATCATTGTTAGAAAAAAATGTTTCACGAAATTATAAACTATGTAGCAAAAATTGTGAAAATGTAGCAAATACGTTTTTTAGATATCTTGCAACAGGAAATTCAGTAGCAAGTATTGCATTTTCTTTTCGAGTCAACTGTTAGACAGTTAATGAAAGAAATGTATCCAGTTATTGTTAATACATTACATTCCAGAATTAGGAGGACATCGCAATTGTGTGTCTAGTTAATACATTACAACCTCTATATTTAGCATGTCCAACTGAAGAACAGTGGTAGAATATTGCTGATGGATACTGGAACCGATGGAATATGCCTAACTGCTTTGGAGCTAATGACGGAAAACACATAGTTTTGCAATATCCTTCTAATTCTGGAAGCTTGTATTTTAATTATAAGAAACAATCATTGTTCTTATAGCAATATCTAATCATTTATATAGATTTAGTTTAGTTGATATAGGAGCCTATGGAGGACATAGTGACGAAGGCATTTTTGAATCGTCAATTATTGGAAAATATTTAAAAAATAATGGACTTAATTTGTCCACTTCACGTGCTTATCTTCCCGAAAGTAATATCTCTATGCCTGGATTTTTTTATCGTAGATGTTACGTTTCCATTATATACTCGTATAATGATCCATCAGCAATGTTCTTCCACTGTTCTTCAGTTGGACATGCTAATTATAGAAGCTGTAATGTATTAACAATAACTAGACACACTTCTTTCATTAACTAACAGTTGACTGTCCAACTCGAGAAGAAAATACAATACTTGCTACTGAATTCCTTGTTGCAAGATATCTGAAAAACGTATCACAATTTTTGCTATATAGTTTATAATTTCGTGAAACATTTTTTTCTAACAATGTTTTCTAAACATAACTAAAAATTTAAGAAGTAGTTACATCAAACAATTTTTTACTAATAAACTATATTTACCTTAATGTTATTATTAACCTGTGTTCCGGAGACAGAGCTTTCTTAGTTTTCTTTTACCAAATAAAGTCTTAGCATGGTTGATAACTTGTTAAAATATTGAACATTCATCCTGACATATTTGACAAACATGTCTTCATCGGGTGTATATCAGTTGGACACGGGGCAATTGGACACAGTCCAATCACAAGTCGCTGTTCCAAGGACCAAGGGACAAATGTCTCTAATCACACGGTGCTGTGATTGGCTGTGTCCAAATGCACCGTGTCCAAGTGCACCGCTCCCGTCTTCATCAGTATTTAATTCTTGAAATAGATTTTCATATTTTCCTTGCTGTTTTCTCTGTTGATTAATTGGTCTCACGAGCCATCTTCTATTTTGCCATCTTTTGTGTTTTTCTCCGTTTTAGTCTCATATAATAAATTAAGAATAATGACAACAATAAAAATTTTAACTTCATAGACTTTGATGTTTTCATATTTGTTGACTTGAGAACCTAAAATTTTATTTCAATATTTATATATCAAACATATTCTATACATAGTGTTGGGAAGATGTTATAATGCAATGTTTATAATTTTGTACAGATACATTTAACAGTTTAATAAAATTAATATGTGCTCAATATAGACATTTCTAATTATGACTGTAAATATAAATTATTATTGTTTCTTTACTTATTATTCAATAATCTGATTTAATTACCTTTGTCACAGAATCTCTATGTTCTTTCGTAACGTAACGTAACGTAAAATTTTCTTACGTTGCCGTACGTTCAACTTACGTCTCACGTAACGTAAGGTTGTTACGTAAGATGGCGTAAGGAGCTACGGCAATGTTCGTGCGCTGGCCCTTACTCCAATCTATTTACGAAAAGATTGGAGTAACTGTGATTGGTGCGCGTGTTTCATTCCGCTAAGAATTTCCGCTTAATGGGACACCGGCCTAACTATACGCGTTTATCCAACAATATTAATCTGGTTTCTATTTTTCTTTTTCTCTTTTTCTTTCTCTCTCTCTTTATATGGTTTCAGACCTTCTTTAGCCCTCTCATCAATTACCAGTTAATGGTCTGTATTCACAGTCAAATCTTGGAGTCGATTCTGTATCTCGAAACGAAGTGAAAATTACAAAAGTGAGCAAATATACTAGAATATTCGTAATTTCATTGGTCAGTGCCTAGTGAATGTGCTCACTTTTGTAATTTTCACTTCGTTTCGAGATAAAGAATTGACTCTCTTATTTTAAGACTGTCTTAATTAATATCTTAAGATGCGAATACGGCTCTTTGATTAGTTCATGACAGTTTTTAAGTTCTTAAAACAGTACTTAAGATGATCTTAAGTATAAGATCGGAAGACTATGGCCTGGTTTACATCATGCACTTGATACGCGTACTAAGTAGTAACTTTCTATTAGATAATCTCAATATTGACAATGCATATCAACGATGACGCATTCAATCAATACAATACGTTTTCTTGATGAGTATTATACCAGCTTAATATACCATTGATTATATATATCGTCGATATTAAGATTATCTAATACAAAGTTACTAT